ACGACTTCTCCGTCCTCCTTTTTGAGGACTAGTGTTCTGACCCAGGCTTCGTAAATTGTAATGATTCACAAACTTGTTTTAAAAGCTAAAACCTATTTTATTGCAACGCTGGGAATTGTTTTCATTCCCAGCCGGAACTAATCTGAAACAGTCGTCCCCCCTGTTCCCCACCAAGATAAGTGGGGCATTTTTATGGAAAACCAGAAGTTATTGATATTTTTTTGACGAAAAACATTGTACATTGTGGTCATGACACCACAGTTCCTGAGTGAGGAATTCTGGACATTGAAGCCTGTGCATCTTCAAGCTGCCAAGGTTGAAAAAAAAACCAGAGGATTAGGCTGTTTTTTTTTATCTTATGCTTTAGTTAGACGAATTTTCTTGGTCTGATTTTCATGAACCCAGTCACAAATAAACACAAATGTCATCTGCTGGATGACATCCAATCATATACAGTGGTTAACAGAATACCAGAGTTGGAAGGGACCTTGGAGGTTTCTAGTCCAACCCACCCACCTGCTCATCCATGCAGGGGACACTATACCATTCCAGACAAAATGGCTGCCCAGTCTCTTCTTAAAAGCCTCCAGTGATGGTGCACCCACAACTTCTGGTGGCAAACTGGTTCCACTGGTTAATTGTTCTCATTGTTAAGAAATGTCTCCTTAGGTCTAGGCGGCTTTTATCCTTGATTAGTTTCCATCCATTGTTTCTTACGTTGGAAGAATTATCCTTCTGGGTTCAGTTCCAAGTGGGGGGCAAAGATACTGGAAACATGGGTGCTGTTTGGAAAGATGGTTTAATGGTGGGCAGGACCACATGGCTTGGAGATGCAAAGAAGGAAGGGCCGAGATGCTGAGAGTCCCTACGTTTTATTCCCTCTGTTGGGATTTGAATTTGAGCTTGTATTCTGATTGGTTGTGAGACTCCCATGGGGCCATGCAGGGGCAACTCTGTAGGCTGTCCTGAGTCCCAGGCTTGGTTGAGCCTTGCTGGATGATGATGTAATGAAAAGGCTTTGGGCAATTCCTATTATGGCTCTACCTGGAGATCTTCGTTATGTAAAATAGGCTGGCCTAGGCCAGAGTAATGGCCCATTAGCAAAGGGTGGGGGGGCTGAGTTTCTGCTTCTGAGGTGAGTTTCTGCTTCTGAGTTTCTACTCTTTTTAGGGAAAATATTCTGCCTTTTTAATATTTCCTAGGATATTTCATTTTTCTAGGAGAGGGGTGGGTGATAACTCCCTACACTTGTCTTTGGAAAACAAGTTGACCGTTTCTTCTTTGTGAAAGCCCCTCAGATATTGGAACACTGTTATCATTAGAATAGAATAGAATAGAATAGAATAGAATAGAATAGAATAGAATAGAATAGAATAGAATAGAATAGAATAGAATAGAATAGCTTTATTGGCCAAGTCTGATTGGACATGCAAAGAATTTGTCTTGGTGTAAATACTCTCAGTATACATAAAGAAAAGGTACATTCGTCAAGAATCAAGAATCATAACATACAACAGTTAATGATAGTCACAGGGTACAATCAACAATCAAATTATACTAGGAAACAGTCAAGTGGGAGGGGATGGGTGATAAGGAGTGGTGAGAAGACTTTGTAAATAATTGAACAGTGTTGAGGGAATTATTTGTTTAGCAGAGTGATGGCTTTCGGGAAAAAACTGTTCTTGTGTCTAGTTGTTCTGGTGTGCAGTGCTCTGTAGCATCATTTTGAGGGAAGGAGTTGAAACAGTTTATGTCTGGGATGTGAGGGGTCTGTAAATATTTTCACAGCCCTCTTTTTGACTCGTGCTGTATACAGGTCGTCAATTGAAGGCAGGTGGGTAGTAATTGTTTTTTCTGCAGTCCTAATTATCCTCTGAAGTCTGTGTCTGTCCTGTTAGGTTGCAGAACCAAACCAGACAGTTATAGAGGTGCACATGACAAACTCAATAATTCCCCTGTAGAACTGGATCTGCAGCTCCTTGGACAGTTTGAGCTTTCTGAGTTGGTGCAGAAAGAACATTCTTTGTTGTGCTTTTTTGATGATATTTTTGATGTTAGGTGTCCATTTTAGGTCATGTGATATAGTAGAACCTAGAAATGTGAAGGTCTCTACTGTTGATACAATGTTGTCTAGTATTGTAAGAGGTGGTAGTATGGGAGGGTTTCTTCTAAAGTCTATCACCATTTCTACAGTTTTGAGTGTGTTCAGTTCCAGATTGTTCCGGTTACACCACGAGGCAAATTGTATAACCTCCTGTCTGTATGCAGATTCATTGTTGTCTCAAATGAGACCAATCACTGTTGTGTCATCAGCAAACTTCAGTATTTTAACTGATGGATCGTTTGAGATGCAGTCATTGGTATATAGGGAGAAGAGAGGTAGAGATAGCACACAGCCTTGGGGGGCCCTTGTGCTGATTGTACAGGTATTGGATGTGGTTCTGCCTAGCTTCACCTGCTGCTTCCTGTCTGTTAGGAAGCTTATAATCCACTTACAAGTGTGTTCAGGTACCGCTAGTTGATTTAATTTACTTAGAAGAGTGTCTGGAATGATGGTATTGAATGCTGAACTGAAGTCTACAAAGAGGACCCTTGCGTAGGTCTTTGGAGATTCAAGGTGTTGTAGGATGTAATGCAGAGCCATGTTAACAGCATCATCTGTAGATCTATTTGCTTGGTATGCAAACTGCATGGGATCTAACAGCAGATCCATGATGGTTTTCAGGTGGGACAGCACAAGCCTTTCAAAGATTGTCCTAACTACAGATGTTAGAGCAACTGGTCTGTAGTCATTCAGTTCCTTGATGAAGGGCTTCTTTGGCACTGGGATGATGGTAGAGCGTTTGAAGCAAGAAGGAACATAGCACATCTCTAGTCATCTCTTGAAGATTCGAGTGAAGATGGGGGCCAATTGGTCAGCACAGACTTTTAAGCAAGAAGGAGTTATCTTGTCTGGCCCTGGTGCTTTTCCTGGCTTCTGTCTGTGTAATAGATCTTGCACTTCTTTTTCTGTGATCCCCAGAGGCTGTGAGCCCAATGGATTGGGGCCAATTGTAGGAAGCTTGGCTGTTGGTTGTGTGTTTGAGATGTTGGTTGTAGAGATAGGTGGCTGTAGTTTCTTTTCAAACCTGCAGTAAAACACCTTCAGGTCATCTGCTAGTTGTTGATTTCCTTCTGCCTGGGAAGGAGGCTTGCTGTAGCCAGTGATGTCACCCCTAGTCCTTCATTTCACTAGACTACATAAAGACAATTCCTGCAACCATTCTTCATGTTTTAGTCTCCAGGCCCTTAATCATCTAAGTAGCTTAAACAACAGACAAAGAATAAAACCAGTGGTCACCAACCAGTGGGCCACTAGTGGTCCGTGAGAAAATGGTGGTCCGCAGAGAAATGTCCCCCCAAAGCACCCCCCCCAAAAGCAATTAATCCAGGCTGCACGGGAACACAAGGCTGCACCGCCTATGTGGCCTGCTCACCTGCTGGTCCCCACCCTTCGGCCCAGCGCAAACCTTACCTTGAGTAGAGCCACCAGCAGGGGAGGGAAATCCACCCCGGGTGGCTTGCTGACGTTGGTGGGGAAAGTCGGTCTCATATTCCAAAGCTTCAATAGTCACAGGACTGGCCCTTTGGTCAGCCTGGAGCAGCTCCTCCAGTCCATGGCAGGCCGGTGTACCCGGGTGGAGGAGCTGTTGCTCCCGGATGACCAAAGGGCCAGTCCTGTGACTATTGCAGCTTTGGAATATGAGACCGACTTTCCCACCAACGTCAGCAAGCCACTGTCAGTCAAAATTCATATTAGTGGTCCGCGGGATATAAAATTATGATTTTATGATGATGATTATTATTTGGTGCTCCCCGAGGTCCAAAAGGTTGGTGATCCCTGTATTAAACAAATAGTTAAAGGTAGCCTACGTTGTTAGGGATGTACCATAGGAGCTACATTTTAATGACAAGCAGGTTTGATATTTAGATTTGCAAGTTGAGATGCCCCTTTGATTATGAGGTGTGTGTATTAGATGTGTATATTTGGATGTTGCCCTGAGGACCTGTGAAGTCTAGGAAGGACAATTGCTCTCAGATAGGTAGATTTTTTTTCCTAGGTGTGGAGTTATTAATAGAGAGGATTGAACTGTGATTGATCCTTATATTGAGGGGATTTTGTTTTTTTGATGGAGCCAATGAAGTGCTCTTAATTAGTTTTAGTCCCAAGTGTCAAATACAAACCAAGAGGGTTTTTTTTTCCTGTATCTTTATTTTGAGGCTTGCTAGCAGATCGGTGTCTTTTAATTTTGGAATTTTTCTGAAGAACGTGATGCCATCGCTTGGGACATTCAAGAAGAGATTGGACTGCCATTTGTCAGAAATGGTGTAGGGTCTCCCGCTTGGGCGGGGTGGTGGTGGTGGGGTGGACTAGATGACCTATAAGGTCCCTTGCAACTCTGATTATCTGTTATCTGTTATGCGAAAGACTCAAATCCCTGCTTTTCAAACTGCTGAGCCTTCTAAACATTCAATCCAGCCGGGGGCTTTCCAGAAAAAAAAAAGAAAAAGAAAAAAATCCATTCACCCTCCTCCATGAAGCCAGCTTTCCCCAGCCTGACACCTTGCAAGTTGCAAACTCCAGCGCCCATAAGTACGATGGGAGTTGGAGTCCAACTTATCTGTAGTTCGGACCTGCCAGATCCCCGAATGGAACGTCCAGGGTGAGGGAGAGGGCTGGCAGTCGAGCCTGCCACCCCGATTCCTAGAGGGACCGTACGAACGCGCGATCGAGGGGAGCGGGGAGGCGATAAAAGGGAAAGCCACCCCGATTCCTAGAGAGACCTCACGAACGCCCGAGCGAGGAGGGGGGGCATAAATAGCGAAAGCCGCTTCCTGTTCCTTCTCCCTTACGTTCCCCCCTCCTCCCCACTTCCTCTTCTCTCGTTCCCCCCACCCCTGTCCCCGCCCCACCCACCCCTCCTCCGCCGGCGCCCTTCCCATCGCTCCGGCGGAGGCTGGCCCGCCTGGCGGCATCTGCGATCGCCGCGGCTCTCCGGAGAAACGGCTTCCGCGGCGCATCTTGCAGGTGGGGTTGAGCGGAGAAGAGGACCCCGCCGTTTCCCTTCCCCCCGCGGCTGGTTTTTGCAGACAAAAGGAGCTTGGGGGTGGGGTGGGGTGGGGGGCAGAGCCCGGAGTGGGGAGGGGGAGGGGAGGGAGCGCCGCCGCTGAACTGTGGAAAGTGGGAAGGGTTCTGCCCCGCCCCCTTTAAATGGGGAGGGGGAGGCCCCCCCGCCCCCCCCCGTAAAAGCTCCCTTTGCTTCCCTGCCTTAAACCCGATCTGAGCTCTGCAGAAGCAGGCAGATGTCAAAGCCTTTCCTTGCATGGGAAAAAGGGGGGAGGGGATTGCAGCCCAATCTTTGCAAACGGGGGTGCCTTTATTTTATTTTATTTTATTTTATTTATAATTTATTTGTCACGTTGACCTAGGTGCTCATCTCTCTCACGAAGTGGGCGGGATGCAAATAGAACCAGGGATTAAATCATTTCATTTTGCAAACGGTTTGTTGGTTGCAAACCCTTAGCAACAACCGTCATAGAGGTAGATTTCCAGTAGCAATCAAAACCAGTTTCCTGGCTGTGAACTAGTGGAAACGGATTGCCTTTAGAAGTGGTGGGTGCTCCATCCCTGGAGGCTTTTCAGAAGAGACCGGACAGCCATTTGTACGAAACGGTATATAATAAGGGCTCGTGCTCGGGCAGGGGGTTGGACTAGATGACCTCTAAGGTCCCTCCCAACTCTTGTTATGCTGCTATCCCTGTTAAATAAACAAAGCCACAAGAGGAGAGAGGTATTAAGAAATATTACCAACGGGCAAACTCCCTCTAATGGCATCTCCAGCTTGCTTGGGGGAAAAGCCCCACATTTTGAGGGTTTTCTGGAATGTCCTAAAAGTTGGGGCTGACCTCATCTGGGAGGCTGTGATGTTCCTGAGGATGAGTGAAAGGCAGATGGATGATTGACAGCTGTTCTACCCCCCCCCTTCCCCTGTTTTATTAAGGTCTTGCTGGATTTGATGGTGCGGTGTAATGAAAGGAAGGGGCTTCAACCCCTTTAGGCACATTAGTGGGGCTCCAAAGTTGGACACCCCACCTTCAACTCAGTTTGGCTTCTCAACCTTGAATGAAAAGAACCAGAATGGACTTTGGGGAGGAGAAGCTAAATCCTGCTTGCTAAACCTGGTCTGGGCAGGCAGAACAGAGGAGGCAAGTATCTTCATCAAAGATTTCTGTACAAAGGCACAACTGCAAAAGCTAATTGAAGAGGGGTGCTTGCCAGGCCCAGTGTTTTATTTATCATAAATGACAGGTTTTGTTTTTTTTCCTGCCAAGCTGTGTGGTTTAAAGTGGAGCTTTTATCTACCTTTCTCTTTGCATGATCAAAGAAATGTGTAAAGAGGGAAAACGCTTTGGGAGAACACGTCTAGAATGTTCCTGCTGGAGTCTTAGTCATTTGAAATATACCCATTTAGAATAATAATAATCCTCTTTCCCTTTTCTTCCGCCGTCTGTCTCGGAGAAGAAAAACTTGAATAGCCGACGTGATATTTTGGACTGAAGTAAGATCTTTATTTGGATCGCTCGGTGTCTTTCCAAGCGAGAGTCAATCTCTAGAAGGTGGAGAATAAAAAACCGAAGGATAGAAACAAAGTGAAGCGTTTGTTTGCTTTCAGATGGCGATCGAAGAGATGAGTCACTGAAATTGTCCCCTCTGTACACGTGCTCAATTTCATCTTGTCACATAATAGGAACTACTTGGACTGAGCAGGTGTTCTGTGAAATAGCAAAAGGAGGATTTATTATCTATCTGTCTATCTATCTATCATCTATCTGTCTGTCTGTCTGTATTTAGAGCCTGCCCTCAATCCAAGTGAGGTTCTGAGGGGACCATAATATTTTTTAGATGTATTTATTTAATACAGGTAGTCTTTGACTTAGAACCACCATTGAGCTCAGGTTTTCTATTGCTAAGCAAGACAGTTGTTAAGTGAGTTTTGCCCCATTTTACGACCTTTCTTGCCACGGTTTAAGTGCACTGGTTCGCTTAGTGACACAGTTGTTCAGTGGATCTTGCCGCCCCCGTTGTCTTTGCTTATCAGAAGGTTGCAAAAGGTAAATCACATGACACCTCCCTCCGGGTCCCTGCAACTGTCATAAATACGTACCAGTTGCCAAGCATCTGAATTTTGATTGTGCGACCATGGGGGAAAGCAGCAACGGTCGTAAGTGTGAAAAATGGTCATCAGTCATTTTTTGCAGTGCCATTTGTCACTCAACAAACAATTGTAAGTTGAGGTTACCTGTACAATGTAGAGGTGGCCTTGATTCCAGAATACCCTGACATTAAAAAAGTGAAAACAGTTATGAAACAGATAATAATGAGCATCCATGAGGTAAATTCTGTAAGGCAACAAAACACCCTAGACCAGGGTGTCACCAACCTTTTGGACCTCAGGGACCACCAAACTCATAATTTTAAATCCCGCGGACCAGAGACCCTGGAAAAATCCCCAAAAAAGTCTGCAGGAAAGTTCGCCACCCTGTTTTCCTACCAATCGATCATTCTTTATTTGGGATCGCAGGATACCGTCTCCAGCTCCATTCTCAAGAGGAGAAAAAGAGAGACTTTTGGCTTCATGCAAGGAAAGCAGCAGAAGCAGCAGAAGTCTTTCTTTGTCTCCCCCAAACTCTGCCAGAAATGAGTCTTTGCCAGCACAGCCTCTTGGAGCAGGATGCCTTGCAGGGTCCTAAAGACTCGTTTCTGGTGGAGTTTGGGAAGAGAAAGAAAGACTTTTGCTGCTTTCCTTGCGTGCAGCCAAAAGCAGAAGAAAGAAAGAAGCAGAAAGAAGCAGCCCGGTGGCCAGATGAGGCGAGTGGGGCAAGTTCCCCCCCCCACCTTCCCCCCCCGCCACCATCTGTTTGCAATGCAAGCGACACAAGCCTTGTGTTCCCGTGGGCCGTGTGGGCTTGTGTTTCCATGCAGCCTGGATTAATTGCTTTGGGGGTGACATTTCTCTGTGGACCACCAAGATTTTCTCACAGATCTCCAGTTGTCCCTGGCCCACTGGTTTGCGACCACTGCTTTAGAAAATAGCTTGACCCCCTTCCTCTCTGTGGCAGCCCCTCAAATATTGGGACACTGCTACCATGTCTCCCCTGGTCCTTCTCTTCACTAGATTAGATTTTATTCTCTAAAAATAAATCCCAACTGGTGGGTGCCTCTGAAAGAGCACAATCAACCAGAAAGCAAAACATTAACAATGTGATCCAATAAAAGCTCACGGATAACTAAACACAACGTGCAGATTATTCCATTAAAGCAGATTCCATACTGGCTGGAGAATTCTGGGAGCTGAAATCCACAAATCTTAACGTTGCCAAGTTTGGAGACCTCTGCATTAAAGGATTGTAGAGATGGGCCTTAGATTAAAGGGCCAGGTACCGTCAGCTGCAGGAACAAAACAGTACTTTAGCTAGTTCTTAAAGTGAGGATACAATGGGCCATCTCTACTTCCTGAGGGAGAGAACTCCATAACATGAGGACACTGCAAGGAAGGCCTGTTGAGGGTTCATACACCTCATCTGCCTCACTTAGGAATCTGGACCAGCAGTGGGCCCTTTCTCAATGATCAGGCAGGCCGATTACAGGCAGTCCTCGGACTTAACAACAGTTCATTTAGTGATCGTTCCAAGTTACAATGGCATTAAAAAAAGCAACTGATGGCCGTTTTTCAGATTTACAACTGTCGCAGCCTCCCCAGGGTCACGCAATCAAAATTCAGACGCTGGGCAACTGACTCATCTTTCTGACGGTTGCTGTGTTTCCCTCAGGGTCATGTGATCACCCCGGTGGTGGGATTCAAATGGTCTTATCGCCAGTTTGGTGGGTGTGGCTTGGTGGGAGCGCTTTGCCTAACGCACGCGCAGCTTTCCTCACACCAGCTGAGGCCTACAGCGCCAATCAGCTGAGGGGATAAAGAAGAGAAAAGCGCAGGAACGGGTGGAAAGGCCGATCCTGCGGTTTTCTCTCTTTTTTTCCTCTCAGGATTTTTTTCTTCCTCTCAGCTGATCGTCAGCTTTTCTTTTTTTTTACTACCAGTTTGGCCGAACCAGTCTGAACCAGTAGCATACCACCACTTGGATCACCTATTTGCCACTTTGTGACAAGCCAACTCAATGGGGAAGCCAGGTTCAACTTTACAACCATGTGACTAACATAACAACGACAGCGATTCGCTTAACCTCTGTGGCAAGAAAGGTCGCAAAATGAGGGCAAATCTCATTTAACGAATGTCTCACTTAGCCAGAACGATTTTGGGGACTTAATTGTGGTCGTAAAGTCAAGGACCATCGGTATAGTCTTTTTGGAACGTCACCTGGTTCATCTTTCTTTTGTTTTCTTTTTTTTAACGAAGTGAGCGGCTGGCGGACAGATGGACGACAGTGAGGAAACCGTCGACCTGAAGACTCCCGGATTCCTGGAACCGTGTGTTTCCTTCCTGGAAGCAGCCCCCGACATTTCGGGTTTCCGCAAAGTAGAAGGGATCTGTGAGATCCAACACGGATCGGTGGGTCTGCCCAGCATGATCCCTGTGCTGGAAGAAGGCCATCCCGTCGTCGAAGGGACGTCTTACATCTGCTCTGATTGTGGGAAGAGTTTCTGCAGCATCTCCAGCCTGATCAACCATCAAAAGCGAAACCACTCGGGGGAAAAGCCCTACAAGTGTGCAGACTGCGGGAGGAGCTTTCATCAGAGCTCGGATCTTGTGAAACACGAGAGGATCCACACAGGAGAGAAGCCCTATAAGTGCACTGTGTGCGAGAAGCGGTTCAACCAACGCTCCTACCTGATCGTACACGAACGCTTCCACACGGCAGAGAAGCCGTACAAGTGCTTCCTCTGCGGGAAGAGTTTCTGCTCCAACGCCCACCTCATGACCCACCAGAGGACCCACACGGGGGAACGGCCCTATCAGTGTCCTGAGTGCGGGAAGCGCTTCACCACCAGCTCCAACTTCGTCAACCACAAAAAGACCCACACGGAAGAAAAACCTTACAACTGCTCCCTCTGCGAGAAGAGCTTCAAGCGCAGCTCGAACCTGATCCAGCACGAGAGGACCCACACGGGCGAGAAGCCGTATACCTGTCTCACGTGCGGGGAGAGCTTCGCGTCCAATTCGGGCCTCGTGAAACACCAGCGGAGCCACACGGGGGAGAGGCCTTACAAATGCTCGTACTGCGGGAAGTGTTTCAGCCAGAGCATGATCCTCACCCAGCACGAGAGGACTCACACAGGCGAGAAACCCTGCAAATGCCCGGCCTGCGGGAAAAGCTTTCGCTCCAGCTCGGATCTCGTGAAGCACAAAAGGATCCACACGGGGGAGAAACCCTACAAATGCTCCCTGTGTGGGAAAAGCTTCACCACCAGTTCGGATGTGGTGAAGCACGAACGGACCCACACGGGCGAGAAGCCGTACAAATGCGGCACTTGTGGGAAAAGCTTCAGCCAGAGCGCGCACCTCATGCAGCACCAGAGAATCCACACGGGGGAGAAACCCTACTCCTGTCTGATTTGCGGCAGGTGTTTCACCTGCAGCGCGCACTTAGTGGTCCACAAACGGACCCACAAAGACGGGGAGGTGTTAAAAGTATAACCGTAGGTGTTGTCTCATGCGGGTGGCTTGCATTTACTAGCAGGCCCGCTCTGTGTGTGTGTGTGTGTGTGTGTGTGTGAGGGAGAGACAGACAGAGCCAAGATGCTATCCGGAGACAAAACTAATCCCAAGTTTTGTCTGCTGCCACGAAGCCAGATATCTCTAAACCTAACTAGAATCCAGAATAGAGGACGATAGGAAAAAAATGAATAGGAAAAAAATGACCTTAGTAATGGGTCTGTTTTTATTATGCATGGAAAAAAAGAAAAAAAATCAAGTTAGGAGAGAAGCCATAATTTTCCCCACTCCAATCCAGACGGGGATGCGGGGAGAAGGTCTGGAGCTTGCTCTGCAAAATTGGCGGTAAACCTGAAATGAAATTAACTGGATTACGTTCGCCAAACACACTATATTGTGATTTTCAATATGAATTGTGATGTGTGGTTCCTTTGTAATAAATAGATGGTTGGGGGTTGTGTGTTTTCTCTGGGCCTTTTTTTTTTGACACGGGCCTCAATTTTGTGGCTGGGCCAAGTTGGAAACTCTGAAATCGCAGATTTTTTCACCCCCCTGACATTCGAGTTATCCTCAGCAGCTTCTGCAGGAGTGGTCAAAAAAGGCAAAATGGCAGCCACAACCTCATAGAATACAAGCCCTGCCTCTTTTTTACAAATACAGGTAGTCCTCGACTTACGACCACAATTAAGCCCCAAGATTCCTGTTGTTAAGTGAGACATTTGTTAAGTTCGTTTAGTGGCCATTCGAAGTTACAATGGCACCGAAAAAAAGTGACCTTTGACCATTTTTCACACTTATGACCATTAACGGCATCCCCATGGTCGTGTGATTTACTCTTCTGACTAAGGCTTCTTGAGTCAGTAACAATCACACGCCTAGTCCCTAAAGCCCTATTTTTATTTCAACGGCTGTGAATTATATTCATTCACAGCCCGTAATGAGTCCCAAACAGTTTGTGAATTGTTCCAAGAGACGTCTGCCACGGTCTTTTCGGGAAAAGGCTGATAAGCACCCACCTTTATCTCCCTTGAAATGCTGCCAATGACTAAATTGCCAATCAGCTGTACAAGGCCAAACAGAGCACAAAGTCAACACGGAGCTTCAGAGTTTAAACCGATCAGAACGAACAAAGTTGCTTCCTGCAAAGGCTCATGTCCCTTTGCTCCTCCTTTGTGTCTTATGGGAGGGGCCAATCATCTCCAAGCCTTACTCCCGAGTCGCCCCTTTTGTCTTAACTGTTCTTGCCTTCTGGCAGCTCTGCACAAGCGTGCCCTGGGAACAGGCTCCCGCTTTTCCTCTGCCTTGCTGATGTCAGATTCTGGATGCTCCAGAGTCGGCACGTAATTCCCAGGTGGCCCTGGCCCCATCTCTGTATCGGACACAAATCCCTTCACCGAGTCCTCCCCAGACTCCCGACTGGCCATGTTCCTCCCCACTATTCGACTCTGCTGCCAGCTCTGCTGGCTGCAGTCTGTGGGGAAGCCAGATTCGTTTAATAACCATGTTACTAACTGAACAACTGCAGAGATTCACTTAACAACTGGGGCAAGAAAGTTCACAAAACTCACTTCAACCATTTCTCACTTAGCAACATAATCTCTGGGCTCAGTTGCGATCATAAGCCGAGGATTACCTGTACAGGTAATTAGTGTGAATTCAAATATGGTGATACTGGATTTGCGGTAAGATTATAGACCAGGGATCCCCAAACTTGGCAACTTTAAGACTTGTCGACTTCAACTCCCAGAATTCTGGGAGTTGAAGTCCACACAAGTCTTATAAAGTTGCCAAGTTTGGAGACCTCCGTTATAGACTGATTATAGACTGATTATAGACTGGGTTGCGTTTAATGCAAGGCAAAACTTTGTTTAGTGGGAGGCTAGTGTGCACACCTGAGACTAGTGTCTGCACAGCTGCCGTTGGGGTTTTAGATGCTTCATTGTTGTGCATACAAAATGGTAAATAAAGTTCCACTCTAGGAAAACTCAAAAAAAGAAGTGGCTCATATTGAAGAACAGGACGGGAGATACCGGTAGCTGCTACCGTCTGGATATTTTATTAAAATGTATTTATTTATCTCCTGCCTTTATTATTTTTACAAATAAGGTGACAAACTTATCCAGCACACCTTCCCACCCGACATATGTACACACAGCGACATATGCATATACCGTATATGTATAGACATACCAAATTCCTTCAACAGTTCTTTATAATGGTTTCGCTTCCAGTCCCCTAATCATCCTTGTTGCTCTTCTCTGCACTTTTTCTAGAGTCTCAACATCTTTTATTACATCGTGGCGACCGAAACTGGAGGCCGTATTCCAAGTGTGGTTTTACCAAAGCATTACAAAGCGGTATTAACACCTGATCTTGATTCTATCCCTGTTTATGCAGCCTAAAACTGTGTGGAGTTTTTGGGCAGCCGTAGCAGACGGCTGGCTGATATTTAAATGATTGTCCATTAGATCCCTCTCACAGTTACTGCCATTGAGTGAGGTACCACATATACTGACTGTACTTCCGCATTTGGGTTTTCTTGCCTAAATATGGAACCTTCTTACAAATAAACTAGAAAACATTAATCTAAGTCAGTCCTTGTTACTGAAATATTACCCAATGGGGCCCCTTATTTCCATCACCATTGTAACTTCAAACAGTCACTAAATGACTGGTTGTAGGTCCATGATTACCTGAACAGATACTCCTTTACTTACAACATTTATTTAATGACTGTTCAGAGTTACAAAAGCACTGTAAAAAGTGGCTCATGACTGTTTTGCACTTAATGATCGTTGCAGTATCCCCATGGTCACATGATCAAAATTCGGGTACTCGACAGCTGACGTATTTATGGTGGTTGCAGTGTATCCAGGTCATGTGTTCTGACCCAAACCTTGTTCCAAGTAAACAAACACCAGAGATAAAAGCAAAACCTTTTAATGCTTGTCTGCGAATTTGTTAATTCACAATTAAAAGGCTGTTTCAGACTAATTGTCTCTGATAAGAACGAGCCTTGCCAAGGTTGTGCAAGGCTGCCAAGAACACTAGACAAAGTTGCCAAGAAATACTCCAAACAAAAAGTCTTCAAACACAAACCAAGATAGTCCGAACTTCCACAAGGCTTGAAGTGCGAGAAGTTCTTTGCTTCCTGCAAAAAAGTCCAGTTTCTCAGCTGCCTTTTATCTCTTAAGGGAGGAGCCATTACCTTGCAGCCTTACTCCTGAGTCTCCCGTGCTGCTGCAGCTGTTCTTTCCTGGGCACGGGGTCCTCTTCATCCCTTCCACAATCTCCGAAGGCAGCACTCCACTCCCTGATGGTCCTGGCCCCATCCCTACATCACACACAGGACCCTAATCTGAGTCCTCACTCTCCGAGACCTCAGCCGTCCGCACCTGCTGTCGGCGAACCACAACATCATGTGATCACCTTTTGTGACCTTCTGGCAGGTCAACAGGGAAACCAGATTCACTTAACAACTGTGGCAAGAAAGGTCATAAAATGGGACAAAGCTCACCAAATACCTGTCTTGTTTAACAATGGAAATTCTGGCTTCAATTGTTGTCGTAAGTGTAGGACTACCCGTAGTGGAATGGAAACAGAGGGACTTATCTTCCTTTCCCTCTTACTTAACAGATAACAGATAATCAGAGTTGGAAGGGACCTTGTAGGTCATCTAGTCCAACCCCCCGGCCCAAGCAGGAGACCCTACACCATTTCTGACAGATGGGAGTCCAATCTCTTCTTGAAAGTCTCAAGTGATGAAGCTCCCACAACTTCCGAGGGCAACTTCAGTTCCATGGGTTGGTTGATCTCACTTTTTGCAAAACTCAGGTGCTCCCTGGGTAAATTACAGATTATACAGTATTTATGTATATCAGTGGTTTTCAGACTTGGTAATTTGAAGATGTGTGGACTTCAATTCCCAGAATTCTCCAGTTGGCCTGCTTATCTTTTCCTTGTTTTAACTTTTTACTCACTACCGAACCCTATACCTCTTAGCTACTTCAGTGCCCAATATAACTATGCTTGAGATATTTTAACCCAAGTGATTATTGGTAAATAGGTGAGGTCCACTGAGGTGCTGCCCTCCCCCTCAAGAATGAGATTTGTGGCAGAGCTTCTAAACCAAAAAACAAATTATTTATTTGAACAATACAACATTACAGGTAATATATATACAAGACAATAACCATCAACATTAATATTGCAAGCTAGATTCCCCCTCAATTATTCAGGCAGATTGCGGGGGAAAAAAATCAGAAAACCTCAAGTAAGGTTGTGCATGCATTTCTACTCCCCATTCCCAAGATTTAAAAAAACACCCTGCTTTTTAAGGGTTCAAAGCTTGTGGCAAAAATCTTCAAATGGCTGGGTCCTCGCTTGTGTGTCCCATTGCGTCATTAAACATGCACCCTTGATCCATAAACGTTCACTGTCTTTGGAGAAACAAGGGTCAGGAAAAAAAAATTGTGCTTTTCTGTCTGAATTGGATCTGCCGGGGTCAAACGGACCCTTAGTTAAGGCCTGGGAAAGTGATGGTTGACCTTTCCCCAACCAGTTTCTTTTAGAAACAGAATTTTATAGGTTTTTTTTTGGCTAAAACCATGATATGGCCAGGCACACAAGTAGATGACACCATTTGGACAAAGCTGTCCACAAGACAGAGGCTGAACCATTTGTGGCAGAATCTCCATCGCACTGTTGCGGCTATCTTGACTTTTTTTGCCCAGATCCTGCAGAACATTCCAGGCACAGGAGTGAAACGAGGACAGAGTCCAGCTGAAGGTCCATTTCTGTGGTAGTTTAGATCCTTAATGTTGGCTGTAGAGTTTCCTCATAACGGCTTGGGGAGATTTATTTTTATTTTTATTTGGCAAGAGCGAGCTGTCAGGGCTCCGACAGTTACCCCCATTTAAATCACGAGTCTCGAGCTGAACTTCCAAAACTTAAAGATTTATTAGGAGTAAACATGCCGGCACTGCCTGGGTGTAGCCAACTCTGAGATACATCATTCACTGTCACCCTTGACTCTGGTCTTTTTCCCCCAACCCCTGGGTGTATCGTAATTCATATTTTCCAATGGGACACATCCATAGCCTAGAGCCATCAATCATGCACTCCAGTTAGATCGGCAGAAACTTCAGTCACCTAGAAACTATCTTTGAAAACATTTATGGAATGCAAGCTGCCTACTGCTCCCCGCTTCCTTTCTGTTGGCAATTCTAAAAGGACCATAGAAATATTGTATGAGTTGACACCAGGTTTGTTGAACAACAAAAAAAAAAAGCAGAACACACACAAAAAAAGGATCCAAAATGGATACAGAAAATCTAAGAGAGGTAGCCACGCATCGCCCTTGGAGGCCTGGCTCATATTCCCGTTGTGTCCCAGTGAATGCCAACAACTTGGGAAACCCCAGTTTTTGAATGATTTCACAATCCACACAACAACTTCTCTGTCCTCCTTTTTGAGGACTCGTGTTCTGACCCTGGCTTCGTAAATTGTAATTATTCACAAACTTGCTTTAAAAGCAAAACCCATTTTATTGCAACGCTGGGAATTGTTTTCATTCCCAGCTGGAACTAATCTTAAACAGTCCCACCCACCCCAAGATAAGCACACACCTTTCAGTGCTGTGGAATGCTGCCCAAAACAGAACCATTCAATTAACTATAAAAGAAACCAACCGAAGTACCAGAAAAAAACCAACCATAGAGCTTCAAGGAGTACTCGGAACCAATCGAGTTACTTTGCTTCCTGCAAAGATTTCATCATCTTGGCCTGCCCTTTATACCTAATGGGAGGGGCAATCCCCTCCCAGCCTTATCCCGAGTTGCCCCTTTTGTTTCAACTGCTCTTGCCTTCTAGCAGCTCTGCGTACACGCGCACTAGGAACAGGCTCCCCTCGTTCCTCTTCCTCGCTGCTGCCAGACTCCGAAGGCTCTGAAGACAGCACCCCAATCCCAGATGGTCCTGGCTTCATCCCCGCATCTGACACAGGACCCTCGTCCGAGTCCTCTCCAGACTCCCAGACTGGTCCCCGT